TCTCTCAGCGCATCTCATTTCCCACGGGGGTGCGTTTGGGGCATCAGTCAAACTGCATCGACCTGGTGTTCAGGAAATCGCTGGACAGCATAGATGAGGTGCAATGTCTGCCTCCCCTAGGTCGAAGCGACCACATCGTACTACACTGGGATTGTTTAAGTTTCTCTGTACCAGAACAGCCCACCAGAATTAGATGAAATATTTGACTTGGTGACTTCGAGCAAATGAAGGCGGAAATCGACAAAATAGACTGGCAATCAGCTTTTTTTCGGAAAGATAGCGGAGTATTCGGAATGGTTCAGTGAGTTATTGCATCTTCTCCTGAGAAACCAATGCCCGCTTTCACGGAAAATGCTAAAAAATCGACCCCTGTGGTTTAAACTTAAGTGTTAAAAAAGGGAAGTAAATAAAAAGCGGAGGTTGTGGCAGAAATCTCTCACTGATAGGGATCTGTGTCCATAAACGCACATAAAGCACAGAAGTTCTTAGTCAAGCGACTTGCCCGCAGGATACAACAAAATTTTGAAAAAAACGTACCGAATCGCGCTGCGGAAAGTTCGAAATTATTCTACAACTACATAAGACGTGGCACACAAAACAGAGATCCAATCCCTGTCCTGAAGACAAGTGGAGACGTGGAAATTAATGAGGATGGAGAAAAAGCTGAACATCTTTCACAATTTTTAAATTCGCCTTCATGAGTGAAAGCGCATTTACTCCTCCCGACTACGACTTCGATGAGGGTCCAAGTATTGAAGCTGTATCTTTTGATGAAGCGACTGTTCGTAAAGAACTGATGGCGCTCAATGAGTCGAAATTACCGGATCCAGACTACATGCCACCTACGTTACTGAAGGAGCTCGCTGCCGAATTAGCCAAATCACTGTCCATGCTTTTCCAAGCCTCGTACGAAGCCGGCTGTTTATCCGCCAATTGGAAATCTGTGCGTATCACACCACTGTATAAAGGTGGCAACAAGGGCTCTGCAAATAATTACGGACCAAACAGCCTCACCTCCATCTGCTACAAAGTTACGGAAAAAAAATTAAGCGAGAGCCAATGCGCTTCTTAGAGCAGCATAATTTATTATCTGATGCACATCATGGGTTCCGCAGCGACGGGTCTTGCGCGGAGAACTTGCTCTACTGTTTGGAACGTTGGACTCGGGCAATTCGCCGCATGTAGCCGTCTATACTGACTTTGAAAAGGCATTTGATAGTGTCACACATCAGCGACTACTGCACAAACTTAGCCAAACGGCCTTAGGGGTAATCTCCTAAAAGCGGAGTTCCCCAAGACTCAGTTATTCGTCCTACTCGGTTCATTATTTATATTGACGAATGCGTTAGTTAATTAGATTGTAGTATCGCCACGTTTGCGAATGTTATTAAGCTTTGAAACTGCGTTCGAACTGCAGATGACGCAGAGCATTTGCAGGCGAACCTAAACCGACTCCAACAGTGGTCAAATGACTGGCCTTTGCCGTTCAATAAAAACAAGTGCAATATTATGCGAGTATTCACAAACCAGATTTCCGAATCCCATGTTTAATGCCTGAATGGTTTACCACTGCAAGAAGTGGCCTCGCAGAAAGACTTGGGAATATGGATTACGACCTTGCCCTAACCCTCGCTGCACTGCGCAAAGGTAGCCAAGTCTGCGATGTCAGTTCTCTACCTTGTCAAGCGGGCTTTCTATGCCTTTGGTAAAGACTGCTTCGCTTAAGTCTTTCGGATGTTTCTGCGGCCGCAAATGGAATTCGATATCCACGCTTGGAGCCCCTGGACCGCGAAGGACCTCAGCATCCTCGAAAGTGTTCGGTGGCTTGCAACGAAGCTTGTGACATGGCAGGCTTCTCTAACATATGGAACACGGCTAACTTACCTTGATATCTTTTCCCTGAGTTACAGGCATCTACGGAATGATCTGATACAAACCCTCCGTATCATACGCGGTCAGGGCAGCAACCTCTTATCGGGGGCTTCTTGGAGTTTAAAAACCTACGAGGTCATCCATTCAAACTACGTGTGACTGAGGCCAGGCTGGACACACGAAAGTTCTTCTTATTCTCTAACAGAACGCTCAAAGATTAGAACGTTCTGCCTCTGCATGTCGTTGTGTCTGCTTCAGTCGAGGTCTTTAAGAAGAAGATGAATTTGTTTAGCGGTGTCCACTAAAATACCACCCGACTTCTGTATATGTGACAAGTGCGACAAATCCCGTTGTTATAATACCCCTTGCTATATTTCAGTAACCCTTTAATTGAATTTCTTCTTGTCTTTAATTCGTCGTATACGCTTCTTGGCATGCAGTTATGCAATTTTTGTCACTCGGGATATTATTTCTTTTACTGCACTCCAAAGGACTCTTGTACTACTGTTCCTACCACTAACACTCTAGACAGTTCGTCCATCTGTGCAGAGTTGACGCTTTTCCGCTTAATTCTTACCCTTATGATACCTTTTACAATTTTTTGATGTTTAATTTGCCTGCGAAAAAATAGGGAGTTCAAAGGTGCAGACCTACATTTCTCTCAAATAAAACCGAAACGAACTGAAAATCCTCTGTAATTAAACAAGTATGCGACCCGAAGGTGCTTCGAAAACGTCGCCCCGTGAATGCATGAACATATTTCAAGAGTGTTCGACGCTCACCTCGCCACATTGAATAGTCATGATCAGGAAAGCTTTGCCAAAAGAAGAGTGCACCAGCATGTTAGACAGGGTGGGTGGTACAATTTTCTGGCCTAAGTAGACTACCTGCCGTAGAGCAATAATCGCTACCTCGACAAATAATGATTAACGGTAGCTCGCTGGACGTACAATGTGGAACTCAATTACCTGAATATGAAATCTGCTTGCAATGATAATAATGATTGTCTAATTGCGCTAACAGAGTACAGTAGGGAGAAATCTTTACGTCGGAAGAAGAGTCATCGTCTTCATCCTTCGACCTTCACAGGATACACTTTTCTACTATACTCACCTAAGCGTTAGGACAGAAATCAGTCAGTGATTTGCGTAGTCCGCATTAACTTTTTGGCATCTACTCTTTAGTAACCAGCACTGCCAACTAAATATCAGAAAACACAGTGTAGATCCCCATCGTGGGATATCTCTGATGGCAGTAAAGTATACTTAACGGTGAATTTCCATTTTGTCAGAATTTTGACTAAGTCCGCAGATCTCAGGGTGGCAAAGAAGAGTTAAATAATTCGCCACGTCAGATAAGGTGAAATCAGCGAGCCAAACAACAAAGATCTCTGCTGCGAGATCGGGTCAACCGGATTATCCCTCAACCTCGCATCCGGTGTCCTACCTTCGAGCTCTAACAGACCTGCCCTTCTGCTCTGTAAGGTGATTCGATCCCAGGTCGTCCTCTCTGGCAAATCAATGCCATCCGGGTGGTAAGAAAGGCTTAATGTGATTGATAGTAAAACCTTTTATGTGTGGAAGGCTAAAGTGCCTTGACCATTTGAGGCAAAACCTGCATTCAATAATTCGGCAAATGGGCATGCCGTACACCGAAATCTAGGCCACAGTCAACAGACTTATGCTCTTCCTCGGAGTGTAACCCACGAATTCTCTCATTAAATATTGTGTTAGATTAAAAAGGTTCATGAACATGAAACATGAGAGCGGGTAAAATGTATTGGGGTGGACTTAAGGCAGCTAGGCTCTTAGTATCTTGATCGGGAATAGTAATTACTTGTTTATTTTCCGGAGCCTATAAACTCCTATAAAAGTCCATTTTCAGATATGATAAAGGCAGCAGAACCGTCGACAGCCATGAAATACGTGAACTGAAGAATGATTGGTGCCTCATATCCTGAAATGTCCGCATAGGGCTGTAGGCGTGCAGAAGACAGTTATGAGGATTGGTGGCGTTCACTTCAGCGGTCAGGGATTCAATCAACTCGTAACCTGTTTAGAAGATGGTGGTTACTAATTTTACTAGTTTGTCATCCTACCATATGGCTGCGTTAAATTCATGTATGCGCAATCCGAAAGTTTGTTTGGTCTGGCCTAATTACGAGGGCAGGCGCGCAATACGCTATGTCAAAAGACTTACTGGGGTTTAGCCTGACCCTGACCGCTTATTCTTAAGCTCGGGATTGCGAACCTCATTCCATTCGATTTGTATGCTCAATTCGTATTTGGAGAGACCGTTTACTTATGCACTCCATGAATGCTTGTTGTTGTATCAGCATGCTGGCGACAAAGTCGTTTCGAGCGCATATCCAGCAGACATGAATAAGGTTTGCAAAAGTAAGAGATCCGGGTCGGTAATCTGAGGAGAATGAATTGCTCACCGGATCGAGGGACTTTTCTGGCTGACGTTTCGAAGAGCTGGGGCTACTCTCCATTGTCAAAACGTCAAGTGAAAAAATCGATCATCATTTTTGAATAGACTGCCGCATTAGTTGGCCTTGGGCTGATCGATTTTTTTCTTCTTTCACCGCCTTGGTCTACTGGTCGTCACCTGTGAGTGTTGGTGGCCTCCTGTATTACGTGTCGTCACCTGAATTGGGGTTGGTTGGGTTTGCGTTCACCTTTTGGGTGAAGTGGTCGACAGACCGTGTTTGCTCGGCATTCTTAGGCTCCGTATGATTGTATTGTCTTCGTCACGCTGTATGAAGTGACGTAGGACTTTATAGGCCGAAGGCGGGGGCCCTGTGCGCTGTGCCGTGTGCACAGGGTTTGCGGATTCCGTTGGATGGAAGGTCGGATGGAACCTTGCGTCGGCACCGTCGTGACGTGGTTCGTCTCTGCACGTCGCTTGACAGCCGGTGACGGGATGGATCTCCACATCGACATCGCCTTGACGCGCCCACCCTCGCCGACGGAGACCGCGGCTTACGGCGAATTCGAGTCGCTCTCCACTACAACCCGAAGTCGTGGTCCCATAGTGGAGTTCGGCCGTGCCACAACGGCACATGGCAGCCCTATTCAGGGATGGCACTGCCAGCCCCCACGAGGGGAAGGGCCTAGAAAAGGTGGCCTAAACATTGCTGGGTACCACGCCGTCTCCAGGCTAGCCAGGGCCGCAGACGTCTAAACATGGTCGAAACAATAAAAATCGAAACAACAACAATACCAATAACAACAACAACCATACTCATTCTCCTCATCCTACTTCTTCTTCCTCTACCTCCGTCTATTCTTCTGCCTATACTTCTCCTTCGTCATCTTCTCCTCCATCTCCTTCCCGTCGCCGTACTCGTTGTCACCAGACTGGCAGGGTGAGCGCGCTCACTCTGGCAGCCTGGAATGTTCGTTCCCTTTTAGACAATCCGAGGAGCAACCGACCGGAACGAAGGACGGCGCTAGTGGCACGAGAACTGGCGCGATACAAGGTGGACATCGCCGCACTCAGCGAGACCCGTTTCTCCGAAAAAGGCCAACTGGAGGAGGTGGGTGCCGGCTACACCTTCTTCTTGAGCGGTCGACCCAGGGCAGAGCGACGGGACGCGGGCGTCGCCTTCGCCATTCGGAACGACATCGTGGGACGACTGCCCTGTTTGCCGCAGGGCATCAACGATCGCCTGATGAGTCTCCGCCTGCCTCTCTGGGGAGGCAAATTCGCCACCATCATCAGCGCCTACGCTCCGACGATGACCAACCCCAACGCCGTCAGAGACAAATTCTACGAGGACCTGCACGCCCTCTTGGCGACTGTGTCGAAGGCGGACAAGTTGATTGTCCTTGGCGACTTCAAAGCCCGCGTCGGCACAGACCATACTGCCTGGAGAGGAGTGCTGGGTCCACACGGTCTCCGCGGCTCCAACGAAAATGGTCTGCTACTGCTTCGCACCTGCGCAGAACACCGCCTCATCCTGACGAACACGTTCTTCTGTCTGCCGGAGCGAGAGAAGGCCACCTGGAGGCATCCTCGGTCGCGTCAGTGGCACCTGCTGGACTATGTCTTCGTTCGGAGGCGAGATCAGCGGGACGTGCTGGTGACGAAGGCGATCGCGGGTGCTGACGGGTGGACCGACCATCGCCTCGTCATTTCGAAGATGCGTATTCGCCTACAGCCTCGCAGGAGACCACAAGGTAAGCGACCCCCAGGTAAGCTGAATGTTGCTTTGTTGTCTTTGCCTGCTCACCGTCTCCATTTCAGCAATGAGCTAGCTCAACGGCTAGACAACCTTCCGATCGCTGCCGCCGACGACGCCGCCGCCGTTGCCGAGAACGCCTCCGTGGAGAACCGCTGGTGTCAACTGCGAGACACGGTCCAGTCGACGGCGCTCGCCGTCCTCGGTCGCGCTCCCCGCCAACACCAGGACTGGTTCGACGACAACGACGCCGCCATCAGAAATCTGCTTGCTGAGAAGAACCGCCTACACAAAGCCTACGTAGATCACCCCACTGATGCCACCAAAGCTGCCTTCTACCGCAGTCGCCGCCAACTTCAGCAACGACTGCGCGAGATGCAGGACGCGTGGACTGCTTGCAAAGCTGCGGAGATCCAAGGCTATGCGGACCGCAACGACTGGAAGAAATTCTTCTCTGCGATCAAAGCTGTCTACGGTCCGCCGACGAAGGGAACTGCTCCTCTCCTCAGCGCCGACGGCAACACTCTCCTGACTGAGAAGACGCAAATCCTACAGCGATGGGCCGAGCATTTTCGAGGCGTCCTCAACCGCCCCTCCGTCATCTCCGACGCCGCCATCGAGCGTTTGCCGCAAGTGGAGACCAACGTGGACCTCGACCTCCCGCCATCCCTCCAGGAGACTATCAGGGCCGCGCAGCAGCTCTCCAGCGGGAAAGCACCCGGATCGGACGCGATCCCTGCTGAGGTCTACAAGCACGGAGGTCTTCAACTGATGGAACACCTGACTGCGCTCTTCCAGGAGATGTGGCGTCAAGGTGAAGTCCCGCAAGATTTCAAAGACGCAACCATCGTGCATCTCTACAAGCGCAAAGGGAATCGCCAAGTCCGCGACAATCACCGCGGCATCTCCCTACTGAACATCGCCGGGAAGATCTTCGCTCGCATCCTGCTCAACCGCCTCAACAACCACCTAGAACAGGGCCTTCTTCCGGAAAGCCAATGCGGCTTCCGTCGTCATCATGGGACCACGGATATGATCTTCGCCGCCCGTCAACCTCAGGAGAAGTGCCAAGAGATGCGGACCCACCTGTACTCTACCTTCGTGGACCTGACGAAAGCCTTCGACACAGTGAATCGTGAAGGACTGTGGAAGATCATGCAGAAATTCGGCTGTCCGGAGCGATTCACTCAGATGGTGCGTCAGCTGCACGACGGTATGATGGCGCGAGTCACGGAAAACGGAGCTGTTTCAGAGGTAATCGCAGTGACCAACGGCGTGAAGCAGGGCTGTGTGCTGGCGCCTACCCTCTTCAGTCTCATGTTCTCTGTCATGCTGATGGACGCCTACCGCGACGAACGCCCCGGGATCCGCATCGCCTAGAGAACGGACGGTCATCTCCTGAATCAACGGTGCATGAACTTCCAATCGCGCGTATCCACAACTACCGTGCACGAACTCCTCTTCGCCGACGACTGCGCCCTGAACACCACCTCCGAAGCGGAGATGCAACGGAGCATGGACCTATTCTCCGCCGCCTGCGGGAACTTCGGTCTCGTCATCAACACACAGAAGACGGTGGTGATGCACCAACCGCCACCCTACTCAGTCACAGTCCCCAACGCGCCGCCGCAAATCAGCGTGAATGGGACCCAACTGCAAGTGGTAGAGAACTTCCCATACCTGGGCAGTACTCTCTCCCGCAACACCAAGATCGACGACGAAGTCGCCAACAGGATCTCGAAAGCCAGTCAAGCCTTCGGCCGCCTCCAAATCCCAGTTTGGAATCGACACAGTCTGCAACTGAGCACGAAGCTGAAGATTTACAAGGCCGTCATCCTGCCGACGCTACTGTGTGGAGCGGAGACTTGGACGGTGTACGCAAAGCAGGCATGTCGTCTGAACCACTTCCACCTCAGTTGTCTTCGTCGCATCCTGAGGCTGAACTGGCAGGATCGAATCCACGACATTGATGTGCTGGAACGGACAGGAATCCTCAGCATCTACGCCATACTGAGGCAAATTCAGCTGCGCTGGAGCGGCCACCTGGTGCGCATGGACGACGAGCGACTACCCAAACGACTCTTTTATGGAGACGTCGCGACGGGTTCTCGCCGTCAAGGAGGCCAGATTCGCCGTTACAAGGATACCATGAAGTCCTCCCTGAAATGCCTGCAAATAAACCCCAACAACTGGGAGGAGCTCGCACTCGATCGACCGACCTGGAGGAGGACAGTGAAGACAGGCGCTGCAATCTACGAAGTCAACCGCATCGCTGCCGCCAAAGCGAAACGTGAAGCCCGCAAATCACAACTTCGCCCAGTAAGTAACGCCGCCGCACAACCGCTTCCAACGTTTCCTCAATGTCAACGGACATTCCGGGCTCGAATCGGACTTGTTGAACATCTTCGGATTAACTGCGGCTCTCGAACGGCACCAACCATCGCACCAAGGCATCGCATGAGCCTATTCGGCCACATGCGCATCCACGACGACCTGCGGTAAACAGCCGCCGGCCAACCACACATTCACTCACTCCCTACCTCCTCCACCATCACCCCACCAGAAATCAACACTCACACACTTCATGCACCCAACTGCCACCTCCCACGCAAGTGGGAAGTCCGCATCTCGACTCGGTCCCCATGCGGCTTCGGCTGCACGGGTGACTTGAGTCCGAGACTATCCCGACAAGTCAAGCGTCGTGGATAGGAAGGTTGCTGATTGACGCCCGCTCTCGGTTCACGCAGTTCGTCGCGTTGGGTGTGTGTTGTGTGGAGTGGCGGACAGGTGGGCTGGGGACGGGTTGAAGCAGCACCTTCCACGGCCTTCTCACGCAAGTGAGAGACACGCCGTTCAACCCCCGTTGTGTGAAATCCTGGTGTTTGCGTGTGTATGGGGGGCCAGGTCGTGCCGTGGCGCGCGCAGTCATGGTCAGTCGACCATGCCAGCCACCGCGCCCATTCCCAACTCCAGTCTGCTGACCGGCTCGGACAGCGGCTGGGGTGTGGGAGTGGGAAGGGAGAGTGAGGTCGACGACTCAGCGCACTTTCTCCTCACTATAAACAATCTGACGCGCTTGAAGCTATCACGGTGCGTTAAAAGGCGTGGCTTGGAAGGTTGCCAACTGACGGGGTACCTTGGACCTCCTCCTTGACCGGAGGCGGTCTGAGAGTCAGGCTGCAATGGCTCCTTTTTAATGTGGCCTTTATGGCACTCCCATCACAGTGTGGGATCCGAGCCAGGCGTTGGCGGCACGCCCAGGTGCGGCTTCGGTCGTGCCAGCCTCTAAATCTCTGCTGTGCTTGTTGAAATCCTGGTTATTTGTTGTGCAGACCAGGGGGTGTGATGGAACGCCAAGGTGAGGATCCGTCCGAGCCATCCACCTGCGGCCTCCCTCATCTCCGGTCTTCTTGACTCTGTCTTGACACCGGGCTCGGGTGAGGGAGGAGGAGCGAGTGTAGGTAGATGCTACGCAAGTCTACCGGCACTATAAACCCCTGCGTAAGTCACCGTCCCTGCTCCCATTGCTGCTGCAACTGTGGGGAACACGGTGGACATCATCGAAACCGATGGTCGAACTGTCAGGCCGAAGGAAGGTCTAGATGCCTGTTGATGGAGTTGGCATCTGAGTACCAAGCCTCAAGTGTGAGACGCTCAGCCCTTGTGGTGCCCCTGCCTAAGACGGCTGCTCCTTGATAATCAAAACTGTGACCAGTTTCCCCGATGTGAGCCGCAAGCTGTGAGTTTGGGTCTAATCTCCGTGGTGCCAGTCTCCGTGCTCATGTAGGCGGGTCTGCAATTTCCGTCCAGTTTACCCAACGTAGTTGCAGTCTGCATCGTTACAACGTATGGGATAGACAACTGTTTAGGTTTCAGTGGGTGGCAGCATGTCTTTAGGTTACATTAAATGGCTACGAATTGTTGCCTGGGGTCGATCAGCCCAAGGCCAACTAATGCAGCAGTCTATTCAAAAATGATGATCGATTTTTTCACTTGACGTTCTGACAATGGAGAGTAGCCCCAGCTCTTCGAAACGTCAGCCCGAAAAGTCCCCCGATCCGGTGAGCAATTCATTTTCCTCAGACATGAGTAAGTTCGCCGTTTGCGGGAAGCAAGAGATCGGCCTCGAACTCCGACAGTTGTACTTATAATGACGCAGTCCCTTTTTTGAGAAGAAAGAATGGAATAGGAGGAAGCGTGGAATTCACGTAGAGGGTTGATGACGTTCAACGCATTTGATACGTGACCGCCCAAGACCTGGGCGTGCCTCTGTGCGAGTATTGCAGGGAGGCAGTCCTGTTTCACATGTCCTAAAATTGTATCCAGTTAACAGCGGTTAGGTGATTTGATTGGGTGACAACAGGGTTTGTGAACAGGGTTAAATGTGTCGTATTTCATGCGTACGCTCGAAGGCTACCATCACGTAATGTCTGGTATAGCTGGCACGATCGGGATGCATCACCTGCTGTTCCGCCATTTACTCTCCACTGTACGAAAACCTGGACTTGTTCATGCAGATCGCAAAGATTATCTGAGTAAAAGGTAATATGGGTCGCGTTTGCGTTAAGCTTGCCGCTCGAGCTTGCCGCCAAGGCCTCGAAAGTTTCTTATAACGTCATGAGAATTCATTTATTCACAGGCGATAGGTTTACTAAGTTGGTAATGACATAATAAACTTTGAATACTTAAGACTT